CAGGGGGCTGGACTCGATGACCTTTCAAGGTCCCTTCCAGTTCTAGGAGATGGGATATCTCCATTAAAAAAAAAAAATCAAACTGAGTATTTGATTAACAAATTAACAATTTGGAAACTACATTATGAGGTCAATAAAAATGGTAACTGCCTTGGAATCACCATTGATTGCCATTTAGGATAGTTTCTTAGTTATGAGACTTAGCATGAGCTGCCCATCTACACTGACTCCATAACGAAGAGATGACAGTGTGGTTCTGGGTATAAACAGTAGGTGGTGAACAATAGTGATGGAATTAACCCTTCAGCAAGATCTTTGTATTTGATCACTTACAAAAATAATGCTTTTTGCTTACAGCTCCATCTTTTTTCTGGAAAGATTTCCCTTCTTCCCCCTCTAAGAAATGCTGCCAGATGAGAATGCAGAAATGAAACGTGATGAAAATTTGATTTTCAAATGCAGATCACAGATTGTGCCTGGTTCTGCAAGACTCTGTTCTGGAAAATGATTGCTGCTTCTCTTTAGGGGAATAACTGCAGGGCTTGTGTAAGAGTATGGACAAGCTGTTCAGTAACAACCATCCTCAACCTTTGCCTAAAACTCAAACAAAGCCTGACCTGAACAGTTCTGGTGATCTGTGAATGAGTTTCCTTACATGGTTTAAAAAACTTTAGGTGAAGTCCTGGCTCCATTGACATCAATAGCAAAATTCCCACTGCTTTCAATGGAACTAGGATTTCACACATTATTTTTTGTTTTTGTATTCCTCTGCACTTTTTAGTTCAAGTCAGAACCCAAAGCACAGGCATTAGGTTATCCCAATAGTCTTCTAAATGACATTTCCAGCTTAGCTGGAAGCAGGAATAAGTGGAAATCTCATGAGACAGTACATGGAGTGATTTCAAACCCAGCTTTTTAAAAAAAACAAGACGTTCAGATCAGCTATTTAGCTGAATTGAAGTTTTGATTTCCCTCCCCCCATATTTTGGATGTAGGAGCCTAACTTTAGACATCCAGGTTGGAAATTTTGGCTGCAGACTTCAGGGTTAGTCTGTGTTTTGAGGATGTGCAGACTCTCTCACCTGTGTTTTTCTCGCTGTTACTAGAGAATCTCTCATGCTAACTGATAGTTTTCAAAATAGTATATTTGTGAAAAATCATCTCTAACTAGAAGCAGCTATTAGTATTTTTGCAAGTGGTCAAATTACTTTATGCACTTTAACAGTATAATATCATCCTACATAAAGCAACTTGGAAGTGTCCATTCATGCTACTTTATGGTATATAAAGGTGATATGGAAGGTTCCCTCCCTCAAAAAAGATTTGACAAGGCTTTCTGGTTTTGTTTTGTTTTTCACTTTAGAAATATTGAGAATATCAAGTACTTTTTTTGGCTGGAGGGCTCCTTGGACAATATCAAAGAACTACACCTGTAGAAAGAGTATATAAAATGCTACCGGATCAGAACATTTCAGATCTGGTAGAATTTTACACCCACTGGGCACTCACTGACTCAAATCCTCAACTCCATTGACTGCAATGGAGCTATGTCAATTTACACCAGGGAGAATCTGGCCAATTATACACAGGTATAAATTAGAACACAAGGTGGTGGAGAATGGGGTATAATACTTTTACATCCTTCCAATTCCTATTAATGTGATGAGTCAAAGGGTTATTCCTGAACCTATGTCTCACATATCAGCACTTTGCCATACTTGCTAGATGTTCTATGCTGCTAACTTCTAATTTTTCACATCTTTTTTGTTTCTTTCTGAAGTGTAGTCCTTGTGTTGGCTGTTCACGGTTTTATAAACAATGTGACGAAGAGCTGTGATAAGTAAACTCACTGTTGCATTTCTAGCTTAAAGGTAAAGAAAGAAAGAAAGAAAAAGGAAGAACCATACATTAATAAAGCACAGTAGGAAGAGGGAAGGGGGAAAAAGCCAACACCAAAAGCCAAGAAACAGCTGAAAGAGAATGGGAAACACTTGAAGTACTAAAGATTAGACAACTAACATTGTATTGTTTGTGAGACTATTTCATTTGGTATGTATGGGTAAAGCTTAAGGAACCCATCATCTGTTTCACCATGTCAGATAGAAGGGAAAACAGAAAGGGAAAGAGTGAGTGGTTTTAGAAATACTAGGTGCTAAAGTACACTAGTATGCGCCTAGTGCTAAGATAAATATATTTTGCATTAAGTTAAGATGTTCACTAATTACTTCCTTCCTGTTGCTTTTTTTTTGAGTACTGGTTAAATCATTAGTTAGAGTCCCACCCCCCTTATGCATATTATCAAATGCTAGTGAAGCACTACTACCACTTCAATGGGTCACTGAGGGCAGGTCTTCACTACGGGGCGGAGGGGTCGATTTAAGATACGCAAATTCAGCTACGCGAATAGCGTAGCTGAATTCGACGTATTGGAGCCGACTTACCCCGTTGTGAGGACGGCAGCAAAATCGACCTCCGCGGCTCCCCGTCGATGGCGCTTACCCCCACCTCCGCTGGTGGAGTAAGAGCGTCGATTCGGGGATCGATTGTCACGTCCCGACGAGACGCGATAATTCAATCCCCGAGAGATCAATTTCTACCCGCCGATTCAGGCGGGTAGTGTAGACCTAGCCTAACAAAGGATTAACCGCCTAAATAAGCACTTGATCCAGTGGCCAGCTGAGACTGTTTAGTTACCTTTCTAGGATTAGATTCTAGCTCTGTTTATGCTAGAGCATTTAGATGGAGGGCATGGTTTTAATTTTACTTTCTACCAAGTGATCAAGAGATTACTTATGGGAAATATTTCACACTGAACAAATAAATATTCGAGAGCTTGGCTGCACATTTTCTAACCCTTGACCAAGCTGTTTTCACTTTCAAAGGTCATCTTTAAGTAGTTCTTTTTCTATTTAATTCTCAGAATATGTGAGAAACTGAAATGATGGAAAGTTGATTAAGAATTAAAGAAGATCTGCTGAAGGGAAAAATATTAGTCCTGTTCTTTTATTTGCTTCCTAATGCATAAAGAAACACTACAGGGTTTTCTTTGTGTGTGTGTTCTTATTTTGTTTCAGAGTAGCTGCCATGTTAGTCTGTATCCGCAAAAAGAACAGGAGTACTTGTGGTACTTTAGAGACTAACAAAGGAAGATATATACACAGAGAACATGAAACAATGGGTGTTACCATACACATTATAAGGAGAGT